ACTGAAAACAGGCTAGACTAATTGATTCTTGGGATTTAAGAATCGATATCGTTTCGTAAAAATGAGAATCGATTATAATCGAGATATCGATATTTTTTTTACCCAGCCCTATATTATATTATATATTGTGTTTGTACTAACTGCTATCTGGGAACTGTCACAAGTTGATTCTAAGACAAATCTCAAGTACAAATAATAAATATTAAACAAACACATAAATAAACAAAGCACAAATTTCCGCACTAATAAAAAGACAACTAACCACACTAATAGATAAAAAATACTATATCATCAGCTGCTTATAAAGATACTTGCATTCAAGCAGTTGCTTTTATCCAGGTGATATTTTTTTTAAAGAAATTAATAGTTTAATTCAGCAAGGATGCATAATTGATCAAAAGGGCAATATTTTTTTTACTGCTGTACTTGTGAACTCTTAATCAAAGAATTTTTGATTTCACTACTTCATTTGATTGTCCATGTGACCAATGAAGTTTGAAAAGCACAAATATTACATATAAAGAGAGATTTGTAGTTTCTAAATTAATATTAAGTCATGATAACAGCATGCACAAGCACAATACATATAATACAATTTAAAATTGTAGTTTAAAGTCATCTGCCAATGTCACCACAAAAAAAGAAGAAGAAGAAGAAGAAAAAAAGTATCTGTAGACATTTTGTTCAGAAAATCTTTGGGGACAATTTTCAATTAACTACTTTTTTTTTTTTCCTTAAGGTACCAACACAATAACACACTCAGCAAAATATCGTCTAATTATCATTATCGATAAAATCCCAGAAAATATCTAAATATAATTTGTCAATATTGCACACCCCTACCTGGCCTATTATATAATACCAGATGCTCTTTTCGTTTTGAGTGAAAACAGGGCGGAAAAGCTGAGAGGTTTTAAAAGAATTATACAAATGAATATATGAATGAATTAATTATATGAATGTACCTCTGAAAAAACGGACCGAATTTGCATGCTCTGCTGTAAATTTTGACCGGTTGATGAAAAACAAGCTTATGTGGATTCTACACATTTAAACAATTCAGATAAGCTATCTAGAATTATTATGGACCAGATCAAATACAAACATTTATTAATCAATTATCATTTTTTCTTTATTTAAAGGCTGAAATGTGAGGTTTACCTTTTTATGAAACTTTTTCAAAGCTTTATTTGAACATTTACATTAGATACTTCAACGTGCTATTAAACTGTTGTCAGTCAAGTTGTCATTTAAATCAGAACATCATTAGTAATGTTATTGTTTTAGTGATTATGCAAACAAAAAGTCATTTTATTTGTTGTTTGTTGATTTTTAAATATAAAACTTGGTGAAGTGATTTATGTGTCGGTAATTTTTTGAACATCTCCAGCACATTTTAACAATACCGTGATAATACTGATAACCGTGATCATTTTGGTCACTATAATCGTGATAATACATTTTCATACCGTTACATCCCTACTCCAACCACATTTTTACCACCATAAATCATCTGTTTCCTAAAACATGTTACATTGAAATCAAGTAAGTCCTCTGGTGCACCTGACTTCGAGGCTGCATGTATGACGACAACGACGACGACGACGACGACGACGACGACGACGACAACAACAACAACAACAACAACAACACATCCTACTCAATGTAACGTTAACTGCTTCCTGACGCGTGCTAACTGCTAACTGTTTATCAACAGGCTGGATATCACATAAGACATGAAACTATAAGAAAATACATCACCGTTATACGGTTAAATGCTTACATAGCCATCATTTAGGTCTAAAAAATATCAATATATGCATTTAATGGCACAGGCGAGGTTGCGAAAAGCAAAGTGAGCTCTCAGAAAACAACTCGACACACATGAACAACAGAGCCAGCATTTCATTACCAATCTACAGCCAGCTCACTCATTAATACATTAAACATGTCTATCAATCCATAAATCATACGTGAAAGGGATTAAAAGGTAAATAAACTTAAATTATCTTGCGTAATCACCTTCTTCCGAGTCTCTGCCTCTGAAACTGCGATCTTCGTCTTCATCCACACTGTCTAGATCTTCCTCGTCGTTATAATAATCCACCATGGGTGACAGTAAAGTCGAGGCCATTTATTATATTAAAAAATTGATGATAGGCCTATGTGTAAACAATCACACTGCACCGACAACGTTTTCAGTCTCGACTCGAGCCTCTTTTTTCAATGGAGGGTAGGCCGAGGAA